ATAGTATCTTTAAGGATATATCTAAAGTCAATAGCGTCGGGTGGTTTGAATGCAAGACTGCACCCAATAAATGGCGCAAACTTATATTTCAAAGCTACAAACGCGCCCTTAATGACTGTAATTTCACATTACTATCTCCAGTTTCATCACCAAAGAATGAAATTAAAGCATGTGCTGATCTCTTTTTGCCGAATATAAAAGGCCACACTCTGGATTCTGAAGATATACAAAATCTTTCTAGTAGTGCAGTTTCAATTTCACCACCCAACCCGATAGACGAAAGCCTTATTGAAGCGAAATTGAAATGTCTTCGCAAGGCTTGTCGGGATGGTAATACCTCTTTAAATATTGATGTAGAAATGATTAAATGCAGTCCTAATCGGGTTCGAGTAAAAGAGCCATGCCGATTATTATTTGCAAAGCTACAAGTGCAGGGCTTTAATGAAATAATTGAAAATTGCTGTTCAAAATTTTCCAAAAAACAAAGCATAGAGCATGTCTTAAGGGAGAATTTTTACTCCTGTAATAATGCATGCTCCATAAATTTTAAGTCGATACGACTTAATCAAAAATCGTTTGTAGCCTATGCCTACTGCATAGATCCGTCGTGTAATTTTTACACCTTTAAAGGGTCTTATAATGGATCAGTTCAAGTTTTTTCAAATAAATTAAACTTGACTCACTCCATTGATTCAAAAAAGACTACACAGTGTAGGGCCATAAATCGGTTTCTTGCCAAGAAAGAAATTAAGGGCAGCACTGCTTTCGAATTTAGAAATAAGATAATAAAGAAAGCCAGTACAAATAGGGCATTAGTTGGCAATGACCAAATGATAAATGAAAATTTATCTTATTATAGAAATCTCATTTCTGAGGAAAATGCAAAAGAGGATTTTGAAAAAGATCCCTTTAAGGATGCATTTGAAATGAGGTGCAACAATTTTGCCCATTATATTCAGCATCTTTCAACTAGACTAGAGGTGCAGTTATGGAACAAAGACCACATAGATCTGTTCCTCAATAAAATTAAAAATGATACGTTGCACATAGATGCAACAGGATGTGTTGTGCAGCCAATGAAGTTTATAGACAAAAGAATTTATCTCTACTCATTGGTGGCGCACATTCCAGAGCATCACATGGTGTATCCTGTGGCACATGCTATTTTGTCGAACCACACTGCCTATGACATTGGTCTATTTCTATGCGACCTAAATAGGTTTTGTAAACTAAATAAATTCAATATGCCAATATGCAAACGCATCATTACAGATGTCAGTTTTGCAATCATCCAAGCTGCTCTAAAAGAATTTAATGACTTGGATGTTATAGCATACAATAGCATGTGTTTTAACTTTTTGTACCAAAAAAGTGAAATATTTCCTGCAGTATGCGTTCAGTTTTGTACGAGCCATTATGCAAAAATAATGTGCTCCGATATCGACAAAACTGTTGGCTTGGCAAACGTTGCATTAAGAGATTTTCTCAGAAATGCCCTAGGACTGGCTTACAATATAATCACTGTCAGTGACTTAGAGAAGTGGTTCTTTAATGTGGTAACCATTCTTCTTTCTCAATTCATAAGCAAAAAGGTACACGATGCTATTTCATATTTATCAGGTAGTACCTCGACTGTTCTTGATTTGGCAGAGCATGAAACATATGCAAAGCCAATTAAAAAGAATGGTGATTATTCACTTAATACCATAGCTGGTAAGAGTGAATTTAAGAAACGATTTAATATAATTACCTCTGAAGCATTAAAAATCATTTCAGAGGAATCAGCACATTCAGAAATCGGCAAAGAAAATCTATTGTATCATCCAAAAATGGTGGAAGTTATTTTAGGAAAATATATAGTTTTTGCGCCATTTTGGACCAATATAATGGGAATTTATATTGATCCTAGCAATAAAAGACCCAGCAATGGTCCAATAGAGTCAATGTTTAAGACACTAAAACACAGTGTCATAAAAAATAAGCAGGGACTAAAACTTGGTAGATTAATTCGTAAAATGAATGATTTTTCAAACTCTGTAGTGCGGCAACTTGAACTTGCACATCCAGAATTTTCACGTTCCCCATTGACTCATGGTACTGTTATTAAAGCTAAACCAAAAAAGTTTACATTAAAAAAAAATGAACGTACAGCCGATATGTTGTCAAATAAAAAATTGTCAACTGTTAAAGAGAGTTGGCAAAAAAAAAGGCACCAAAAAACTAAAAATAGGGTTATTCAAAGGAGATTTTTCACGACTAAATACTGTCTGTGAATCAGAATTGAATAGCCCGCAAAATATTGACCTAAATTTAAGTTCTTCAATAAATTTAGACCATTCTTACTCTAGAAAGGGTAATATGTTTAAAATGGAGGAGAACTTCAAAAATGTTCTTACAAAAATATTTAAATCACGCACGTTTTTAACGGAAAATAAACATTTTTACGTGCTAAATTGTAAGAGTCTGTTTGGGTCTATACATACATTAAATATGAATAAATTTGTATATCATCTTGAATTGGATGATATACTGACATTGCAGAACAAAAAGTGGCTCTCTAACTTTGTATTAGATGCCGCTTTAACTGCTTTAATTAATGATCAAAATGACCCTTTATACATTAACCTTCCGTGTCAACTTGATGATTATTGTTTTCAGAATGAGGCTATAATTAAAAAAGCTTATGAGGAATCAGCTGGTCATTTAATTATTCCTCACTGTTACAACAATCATTTCAGTATATGCTTTGTAGACATTATTAAACAACAGTTTTTGTTTTTAGATCCTTTCGGTCAAACATCAACGGCTGAAAAGTTTAAGAGATACTACAAAGATTTGTTAGACCGCATAAGTAAAATTAACAATACTTGCGTGTCTATAGAACATGACATTCAAAAAGACGAGTACAATTGTGGCATTTTTATATTGCAGTTTGCTAAATGCTACTTGGAAAATGAGCCCATGACAAATTTGCAGCCCGCGTATTTGTTTAGACAACAAGTTTTTCACCAACTACTTAGCATTGGTGATTCCTTAGCTGATATTTGCTTGCATTGTGGCAAGTGGATACCATTCGATTCTCTAGTATCATGTAACACATGTGGACGAACTATTTGTGGTCAATGTGTTTCCCAATATTATAGATCTACATCTAATTTTAATAATTGTCTAATGTGCCAAGCAACTTAGACAATATTGAAATCAAAAATATTAAAATTATTAAAAAAAAAAATAAAAGAACTGTTTCTTTTATCGAAAAAAATATATAAAAAATAAAAGAACTGTTTCTTTTATACAAAAAAATATAAAAAATAATAAAAGAACTGTTTCTTTTATCCAAAAAATATTTATAAAAATAAAAGAACTGTTTCTTTTATACCAAACATATAAGGAAAAATAAAAGAACTGTTTCTTTTATCGAAAAAAATATATAAAAAATAAAAGAACTGTTTCTTTTATACATAAATTTATAAAACAAAAAAGAACTGCTTCTTTTGTATTATTATTAAAAATATTTATTAAAAAAAAAAATACCAATTAATAAAATGCAATTAGTGGAATAGGCCTAAAGGGGATACCACTTTAAAAAAAACGCGCCATTCACTCTACCTCAATGGTGGTGCGGAAAGGAGTGAACACTTTATATTAAATGAATTAAATAATAATTTAATAGGTAACCGAAGACGATGCGGCCAGCATTTTGGATCAGGGCGAATGCATACACCCCCACGGCGACGACTATATCGATCCTAAGAATATCAAGACAGAGATCGACATTGAGGAACAGCAGTTGGCAGGTGGGTACAGTTGGCAAAGTCTCTATTTTACATTTCTAATCTTATGTTTTACAGTTCAACGGAGGCCAGTACGAGTTCCGCTGGTGCACCTGCCACATCTGTAGCTGGAATGGGTCCGACTATGCTCACTGACGATTCAGCGGCCATTCAAATGCCGGCGGAGATGTCCACAAGTGGCAAGAAAAACAGCTTGGTCATAAACGATGGAACTGGAAATCTCGGAGAGTGACAAGGGTTTAGGTGGCCAACCAACGCAGTCGCAGATATATCTGGTGGATTCGCCCAACGAACCCACATCTCTGGACTACCAGCAGCACGCGCAGCTCGACTTCCAACAGGCGCAGGGGATGGAGGAAATGCAGATCAACCAGCATGACACTATTGCAAGCCAATCAGATTCAGCAGCAGCAGCAAACGCAAAACAGTGACAACGATTATGCTTGGGCTTTCTAGAAACCAAATTTTACAGAATGTCATTTTAATTTGATTACACAAAAGTGTGAACTCCGTAAAAATATGTAATTTTGTAATGCCTTAAGCTTAATGTTGTACTTAAAAACATATTTCAATGGGACTGTTTATTTTATGCAACGAGTTTGATTTGTATCTATCATTAGTAATCGTTTTAAGATGTTTGTGTCTTGTAAGCAAATATTTTAATTATTTAATGAAATCCACTGAAATAAAAAGTTAAGGTAGAAAGTATCAATACATTGATACTGCATGTGCACTCAGAGTGCCACACACGTGAGGCAAGTCTGTGTCCTGAATATTGGTCCAGACCAGTGAGTGCCTGGTGGAAACCGGAGCTACCTTTATAGTCTCGCTCAAATACTACGTACGTCGATAGCCATAGGTATTTTGGATATACTGTCAAAATTTCAGATCGATCGGTTAAGATTTGTTCGAGTTATGTTTTCGGCCAACTCAAAAAAAGTAGTTTTGAGAAAAACGCGTTTAAAGTTTTAAAATCGTATATGATTACATGTGAGGCATCGCCGCAGACTGAAAAATTTCGACACTTAGAAACTTTCGACGGACTCTATCTTTTGATATGTTATTTTTAAGACCCTAAAGTATTTTTTAAGCAAAAAAAATTTTTTCGATTTTTAAAAAAATTTACTCAGATGTCCCCCCTTAAGAAAAGGAATAAAACTTCGTAGTATTTCATTATTATTTAATTTTTTTATTTATTTTATTTATTTAATTTATATTTATTTCTCCGAAGGCCTCCTCCATCTGCTCCGGTCGCTCTGGATGCTCCACAGGCTCTGGTTCCTGCCGTTCATCTTGGGCCTGCCGAGGTCGCAGAGTGTCCATTATTGCGCGGCGGATCAGACGTTGCTGGTCCGCCGGGTAATTCCTTGCTGCCTGGTGGGCCAACGCCACCCTCTGCCGCCGATTGAGGCCCAGTCGTTCCTCCTGGTCGCCACGACCAGCTTGGCCGCCACGACCAGCTTGGCCGCCACGACCAGCTTGGCCGCCACGACCATCTTGGCCGCCACGACCAGCTTGGCCGCCACGACCACGTTGGCCGCCAGGACCGCGTTGGCCGCCACGACCGCGTTGGCCGCCACGACCACGTTGGCCGCCACGACCGCGTTGGCCGCCACGACCACGTTGGCCGCCACGACCACGTTGGCCGCCACCACCGCGTTTGCCGCCACCAGCGCCGCCACCACCGCGTTTGCCGCCACCAGCGCCGCCACAGCCATCAAAATAGTTATTAACTATTTGCATCTGAAATATTGAAAATAAAAGAATAATAGGTGAATAAATATGTATAAAACAAATTAATATAATAAAACAAATGTCGCCTGGTTTACGGTGGTGTACTTACTTTTGTTATTGCGTTTATTTAATGTTTAATGTTGTAAAAAACTTTGTTCGAAGCGTTGTCCTCTCGAAGATTTCAGCGCGAATAAGGACAGATCGGTGTTGCCAGACCTTCGACGATTACACTTGTCGATCAGCCAGGGCTGCAGAAGCATATTATTACAATTGGATCTTAAAAACTAATTTTCTTAACAACTACTGGTCTAAACGTTTGGATATTTTTACCAAAAATTATTCAGAATTTTCGCTGTGACTTAGTGTACAGTGTTTGTTGGTACAAGCAAAAAAAAAAACACTACTTGTGCCAAAATAATAATCGAAAAACAATAAAAATGGATTTTCTGCTAAACGACTAAACGGATTTTGATGAAATATGCATTAAAATGTTTAGAAAAACGATGTCGTTTATGAAACAATCTTTCCTTTGCATAAGTCGTACCCTAAAGTTAAAATCAAATTTAATTATATATAGGCAGCCAGGGCTGCCGTATACATATATTATTCGCTTGGTACATATATGTAAATAATAGAAAAAGAGGGTTTTCTCCTGAACGACTGAACGGAATTTGATAAAACACCTACCCAATTGCTTAGAATGACAAGGTCGTTTATTGGGCATTCATAATTAATACAATTGTTCAAATTGTCAATATAAATATTTTCTGGCGGGAGGCGTATCGATAGGGAGTGGGACGCGCTCCTATCGATATGCGCCAGTGTTAATTAATTGGGGTCAGAAATATAAACACCTGATTTTCTCAAAATCTGTCGGGTAGAATTCAATAAGGCTTATTTCGAAATTAGAGAAAAATGTCCCCTTTCGTTTGATATACCGTGCATGTTGGCACAAATTCGTTGAGGACTGCAAAATATTTTTAAAAGTTAGCGTCGAAAATATCGTATGGGGCATCCACGTGGTGAGAGGGACGACATGAGCCAGTGTTAATTAATCGGGGTCAGAAATATAAACACCTGATTTTCTCAAAATCTGCCGGGTAGAATTCAATAAGGCTTATTTCGAAATTAGAGAAAAATGTCCCCTTTCGTTTGATATACCGTGCATGTTGGCACAAATTCGTTGAGGACTGCAAAATTTTTTTAAAAAGTTAGCGTCGAAAATATCGTATGGGGCATCCACGTGGTGAGAGGGACGACATGAGCCAGTGTTAATTAATCGGGGTCAGAAATATAAACACCTGATTTTCTCAAAATCTGTCGGGTAGAATTCAATAAGATTTAATTCGAAATTAGAGAAAAATGCCCCCTTTCGTTTGATATACCGTGCATGTTGGCACAAATTCGTTGAACATTGCAAAATTATTTTTTCAAATTTAGCGCCGAACTTAGATGGTGTTAGTTACCAGGGGTGCATAGTAATACCGTCTAGGTAATTACAACAATAATTAAAATTCGAGGAATAGCTAATTTCTCCCAAAAGACTGAACGGAATTTGATAAAACACCTACCCAATTGCTTAGAATGACAAGGTCGTTTATTGGGCATTCATAATTAATACAATTGTTCAAATTGTCAATATAAATATTTTCTGGCGGGAGGCGTATCGATAGGGAGTGGGACGCGCTCCTATCGATATGCGCCAGTGTTAATTAATTGGGGTCAGAAATATAAACACCTGATTTTCTCAAAATCTGCCGGGTAGAATTCAATAAGGCTTATTTCGAAATTAGAGAAAAATGTCCCCTTTCGTTTGATATACCGTGCATGTTGGCACAAATTCGTTGAGGACTGCAAAATATTTTTAAAAGTTAGCGTCGAAAATATCGTATGGGGCATCCACGTGGTGAGAGGGACGACATGAGCCAGTGTTAATTAATCGGGGTCAGAAATATAAACACCTGATTTTCTCAAAATCTGTCGGGTAGAATTCAATAAGATTTAATTCGAAATTAGAGAAAAATGCCCCCTTTCGTTTGATATACCGTGCATGTTGGCACAAATTCGTTGAACATTGCAAAATTATTTTTTCAAATTTAGCGCCGAACTTAGATGGTGTTAGTTACCAGGGGTGCATAGTAATACCAAGGTATTTACAACAATAATTAAAAATTCGGGTAATAGCTAATTTCTCCCAAAAGACTGGACGAATTTTGATGAAACACCTACCAAATTTCTTACAATGGCGGTATCGTTTATTGGGCAGTTAATTTATTTAATATTAAGTTCCATAAATTGCTAATGTTCTTAAATCTAGTATTTCTTTAACATGGTTCCGCTGTCTGGTTCGGCAACTGGTTCTCTGCAGGTTCACAGCTGGTTCCATTTTCAAAGTTAGCGCCTCTGTTATCAGCCCACCTACACCACCCACTGCTATGCGATTTTCTCAAAAACTGACGGATAGAATCTTATGAAACTTTTACCAAATATTCTTTAAACTTCCCTTAATAAGCCAGTATACCGTGCATATTGGCACAAATTCGTTAACTGGAGTTATAGGAGTTACAATTTTTCCTGCCTCATTTTGTATGGAGCGAAACCCGAGGTTAGTTTACTGTTACGCAATTTTCTCAAAAACTTATGGATAGATTTTAATGAAACTTTGCAGGGTGAAAGTACAATAAATGTCCTTTATCCTGGCATACCGGGTATATCTGCACAATTTCGTTGAGCCGAGCTATAAACAAAATTGCGAAAACACGATTTTTCGAATGCTTTTTTTTAATAGACCGAAAGGTCAAATCCCCTCAAACCCAGTAAAAATCAATAGTAAATTCATTTTTAAGCATTTATAAACTTTATTTTGTTCAAATTAGTGCCTTATTAACGAAATAAATTAAAAATAAAAAATCCCTCAGTGTTCCATTTTCCCACCGTTCCATTTCGACGCTAACTCACCGACGCTAATTTGACGGACATTATATACACTAACCAATTTTAGTATATGTATATTTCTTATGTATATTTTGAACGACTGTTCGGTCACACTGGCGGCTTGATAGCGAGAAAGAGGAAGAGAGAAGTCAGTGGAATTAAGAGATTCGATTGGCAATTCGCTGTCCGAAAGTTTCATTAATACGACCGCCGAAGCAGAAACCAAAACTCCGGCATGGCAGCCTCATTGCGAAGATTCCACGGCTTAAGATTGCTGAAATCGACCCCAGCCCTCAACCTGCAGCAGGTAAAGATCCGGAAAGGAAACCGCAGAGAGGGCCCAAATTTTCCACAGTCGTGTCGAATTGGGGAAAAACATCATTAAAAAAAACACTTGAATTGGACAATTTACCAGTGTAATCTTTCAAATCGAGCCTCGGAGCAGGCTTTATCTGTGATCCGTAATCTAAATGGGCAGCAACTGCACCGATTCGATGCCAACCCCCCAATTATGTAACTCCGTGCAAAAAATCGTACTCTTCTGTTTTGCTATGACTAGCGACTATATTTTATTATTTTTCCCTTGCAGGCGAAGAACCTTTCATCCACCGGCAGCTGGGCAAGTGGCAACAAGAAGGTGAGTTTGCGAGTCAGGAATCGGAGATTCCCAACTTGGCATTTCATAATACCCGAACGGACCTAACCTCAAAACGCGTTTGCTTCTCTCCTCTCCGTCGCTGTCGGTGTGCGTGTGTGTGTTGTGGGTGTGCGTGCGGCAAACAGCTGATCGGAGCCTTGGGAGCGATTACCGGCGGCGTTGGAGCCCTTCTCTTCGCCTTGGAGCAGTCCGTGCAGGCGTCCGGCGGTGAGGTGCACTCTCCAGCCCAGGCATGGAATCACAAGGGTCTGCTGGACGCCCTGGATCACCAGAGGTAAGGGGATAAGTGGGAAGATGAATTTGTTATTTGTTTACAAACTTAAGGCAGATATTTTTAATCCTTTTTAAATTAAATTTTAAATTTTTACTTAATCTTCCAGCGTCCGTCGTGGCTACGAGGTGTACAAGCAGGTCTGCTCCGCCTGCCACTCTATGCAATACATTGCCTACCGCAATCTGGTTGGTGTCAGCCACACCGAGGCCGAGGCCAAGGCTGAGGCCGAGCAGATCACGGTGAGTCCTTTAGAGCATCCTTTTATTCATTTAAGAAGTCTAATTTATGGAATCTCGTACAGGTCAAGGATGGTCCGGATGATACTGGCAACTACTTCGATCGCCCTGGCAAGCTGTCGGACTACTTCCCGTCGCCTTATCCCAACGAGGAGGCGGCCCGTGCTGCCAACAACGGTGCCTATCCTCCGGATTTGAGCTACATCGTTTCGGCCCGTAAGGGCGGAGAGGATTACATCTTCTCGCTGCTCACTGGCTACCATGATGCTCCTGCCGGAGTGGTACTTCGTGAAGGCCAGTACTTTAACCCGTACTTCCCGGGCGGTGCCATTTCCATGGCCCAGGTGCTGTACAACGAGGTAAGTTGGAGATAATTCCATTCACAAGTTTCAATAAAACTAAAGTAATTTAATGTATTTACAGGTCATCGAGTATGAGGACGGCACTGCGCCTACTCAGAGCCAGCTGGCCAAGGATGTGGCCACTTTCCTGAAGTGGACCTCCGAGCCGGAGCACGATGATCGCAAGCAGTTGCTGATCAAGGTGATTGGAATCCTCGGCTTCCTAACTGTCGTCTCGTATTACATTAAGCGACACAAGTGGTCATCGCTCAAGTCGCGAAAGATCGTGTTCGTGCCCAAGGATAAGAAGTAGATTGTTTGAATTTGATTTTCGATGGTGTGAAGAATTGCAGTGTTATCGCGGCTTTACCGACTAATAAAGATAAATCAATTTTAAGCAAACCAAACAACACACAAAAACCAGCCACCAAGTCAATGTTCTCTCTCAAAGAAAAGAAACCAAAACAATGCGATTTGCGAGAGCCAACAATACGATCTAAATAAAACTAGCTAAAACAATAATGCCACTTGAGATGTCAGATCGGAGAAATCACAGAGGGGATCTAAAGCTAAAGAAACTATGAGAGTCTAGCAAAATGTAACGAGGATGGATAATATAACATTGATTGTGTATAACATCTATAATTCAAATTATGTATTTAAAGAAAATAAACAATTGACAAACGGAAATGATTTCCAAGAGATCATATCAGAGAATAGCTAACGAATTGGGGAAGAATTTGGGAATTTCATTTGCAAACCCAGGTCAAAAATAGTTTTTTTTTAAGTTTAATTAAAAACAAATCTCTTATTTTGTTCCGAAATGAACAGAGGGTCATGACCTGATGTTGATCAAGAATATATACCTTATAGGGTCGGAAATGACTCCCTGGAATCTTCTGACTAAAAATATATGGTTATGATCGCTTTATAGCATACTTCTGGGAAAAATATATAGCAACTTCTAAGGTCCACCTGATGGAATCACTGCATTAAAATGCCAAAAATTTTGGTTTGGTAAAATAAAAATATTAACAATTATTTTTCAAAAACAAATCTAATAAATATTCTATGATCCTCGATAAGGTTTACCCATTTCCAACTTTGTAAACTGAGATTTTTAATGAAAACTCAAGAAAGAACACCATAAAATATATTAAGAAAAACATGGGTCAAGATCGGTCGTCATTTAAACGTAATTACAAATAATCACCCCTTTAAGTGACGACTGATCCTCACCTGACTAATCTTCTTTTTTATTTGATTAATTGTTTTATTTAGAAGCTTAAATTAAAGTATTATTTTAATCATCGTTCATCATTCTGTCCGCTCGATTTCCTCATCAGCTTAGTGTGTGTGTGTGTGTGTATATATATCTATAATTTCCACTTGTCAATGATTATAAATCGCGTCTCTCTTACCGTCCCGTGCGATTTGGGAGGAAGGTATCGACGAAAACAAAAAGAATCAACAAAAGATCGCTTCTTCAATAAAAAAAAAAAACCTTCGTACTGGCGCCGTCTACAAAAATTCCCTTCGACTTGTTTGTTTTGTTTTATTTAAATTAATATATATTTTTTGTTGTTTTTATGCATATAATTAATAAATTTTAGTTTAGGCAAAAAACAATAATTACGCTTCTCTCGTTTCAAAGAACTCAACTTTTAAATTTTCTCATTCTCATGCTTTGCTTGCATATATTTTCTGTTCGTTTCGATTAGTTTACGCTTACTTTTACGGGTTCTGTTGCTGTTGTAGATATTATAAACTGAACTGACTTTTCGCATCTTTCTCATAGGCATTATTTAATTTTTCTCTTACTGCTCTTGTTTTATTTCTTATTTAAGAAGGTTGTTTTGTTGGGACTGAAGTAGAAGTAAAGTAACCAAACACGATGACATAGTTTCATGACGGAAGGGACGACGACGACGACGACCTTTTCTGCTACCGCATTTATCGCTGCTGTTCCTTTTACTTATAGTATATAGCATGCTTTTGGTTGTTGTTGTTGCTACAATAACCGCACTAGATCTCCAATTACGTTCATAATCATAATAATTCGCTGCCGGCGGAACAACGCGAAGGAGCACCCGGACACACACAATCTCCATCCACGGATGGGGACGACCTTGGTCTTGGACTTGGACTGATGGCGTTTTCCTGCTTTTTATATTTTTTTTTTATAGAGTGTGAAGGTTGCTCCCGTCGAAGTTGCAGTCGTTCCCGCTTGTGTTGCTAACGGATGTTGTCGACTAAAAACAGCTTCCTTCTGGCGGCTGAGCCAACTTCAGGTTCTCTTTCATGGTCATAATCCTTCGGATTTCCTGCAGCATCGTTTTTATAGTGTACTCGCGACTCCATCTGGCCAACATGGGCACTGATCTATGATCAACCTGTGGGAATTTGAAGTGAAATCATCATCAGCCTCCACCCTTGACTGCCAATTGTTAAATCCAATTGTTTATACTCACCACGCCATTGTTCTGGTTAATGCAGTTAATATTTACTTTAGTTAAAAACCTGAGCGTCGGCGGCTCATCCGGATAGTGTTCGCCACACTCGATCTTTAGCGAATACATTCGATTCTCGAATGGTGTCTGTAAGCAATAGAATAATTTATAATTACCAGGTTTCTATGAAAAACTATGTGCAATTACGACCCCTTGAATGTCGATGAGTCAGTCAGTCAGTGCCCCCCTTCCACATTGGTTTTCTATTTTTCAACTGCCACTGCACCTTAAACATTGTTGGAGTTTTAGTAGAGGAAAAGGCGGCCCCTCCAACCCTAACTCCTCAATGATTCATAAGGCGGCGCGCGCAACCTTCCTTTGGACTATACAAAAAATGCAAATCTAGTTTGCTTCGGGTTTTTCTTACAAGCAATTAACAAAAGATTTAATCTATAAAATATGTATAAATTTCTTTGTTGCCTAGCTAAGCTAACAATTAACTTGGGGTAAGACCTAAATTTGAGTTAATTGAGTAACCTTGAATGAAAACATAGTTTTTAATTGCTATAAACAAATAGCTCTGTAGTGGAAAAATACAAGAAAATGTGTTGAAGTAAGTATTTCTTTAAGATTCTCCTATTACAAGGTTCATAAGCTAACCAGGGTTTCAAGATCTTATTCATATAAACTTTTTAAAAAATTAAATGTATTTTTCTTTCAATAAACATTGAAATTCCCTGAATACAATAAAGCTAACAGATAACTTCAAAGGTCTTTTCACGATGAGTTGCATGAGCAATTCGCTTATCAAATGCAAATATTACCAACTTTCCTTCTCTTTAGCAAAATATAAAGCCCAAATGATATGCAATGCAATCGTGCCGTTAAAATTTTCCTCACAATCATGGTTCTTTACGCAACCCAAGGCGATAAAATGTCAATAATCCTACCAAAATAACTGATAGCAAGGGCTTATCTCGTGACGTAGCTAAAGCAAAGTGGGGGAAAGTGTGCTGCAGTGCTGCAGCTCTTCCGATCGCTGTGGAAACTTACTCTAGGCGGACCAATGATCATGCCGATCCAGTAGGTGAGCGTCATGTCGTCGTCGTTCTCCAATCCCCACGATATGGTGCCATCGCCCACGCCCTTCTGGCCCTGATCCAGCTCCTCCAGTAAGCGGAAATTTCGTGGCACCACTGCAATGTGAAAAAATGAAGAGGTGAGAACTCGATTTAAACAAGATGACATAATAGGTTTTCACTGAAAAGCATAAATGTTTAAATAGCGTCATTAAGTTCTGGCTACTCAATGTTTCTTTCTGTTTCAAATGCACAGAAAACAAAATTCAAAACACAAATTTAATTTATGAATTCTGGGAAATTAAAAAATTAAAATCAAATCAACATTTTTTTATGGGTAAAAATATTAATTAAATGTTAAAATACATTTAAGTACATAAGCTCTGACAATCTATAAAAAATACCAATAAGCCGCTAGTTTCAGCGCCTCGTTTCTCTCTGTGTGGGGTCATATGGGTACGCGTTGTTGTTGTTTGCGCTCTGCGTCTTGTGTTGTTTTTGTTTTGCGCCCGTGTGACTTTGCACGCATTTTCGTGCGCTCGCCGAGAACAAAAAAAAAAAAAAAAAGAAGTGCGAAGAAAGAGAAGAAACCATAACGCGAGGCGCGGTGGAGGGTGTGTCGGCGGCGGCGGGAGGGAGGCGCATAATTTTTGCATTTGCAAAAACAATCTGAGCAAATGAAATTTGCAGCTAATTTAATTAGAAAAAAAAAGCAGCTTGCAAAGCGCACGCAAAACGCAAGTGTGCAAAAAGAAAAAAAAAATTAAAAGCTAAATGGGTAGAGGAAGAGTGCCAGAGAGTGAGCAGCGAGGGCGTCGCATGAGGGGGTGATATTTCGGAAAATGTCAAGTCACGGAGCAAAATTGCTGCAATTGCAGCAACGTTTTTCCAACGGAATGGATCGAAAAGGTAACGGCGTGGCCTGCTTGCCAAACTATCCATCGCTCCATTCGCTTTTATCGGCTTTCGTCGTCGCCCTTGCTTTCGTTCCGTCTTCTTTTCCCCATTTTCACACACACACACATTTCGGTTCGGTTTTTATGCTCGTTGCGGCGTTAAACACGTCGCCGGGCGGCGGGAAATGTGTCCAATGGGTAGCCCGGAATCCAGGCAATCACGGATCGGGTTAATAGGCTTTCAAATCCTTAATTTATCAAATTTATTTCTTACCAACGCCGGTACTTGATGTATTCGCCATTGTGGTTTCTGCTACAGCCAGTGTTGCCAGATGTAAATTTGGCTTTCACCCATAAAAAATCTTAAAAAGTTTACGTTTCTCCCTAAAAAATCCCAAAATGTATGCGATACTGAATCCGCACACATTCGTATTTTCCTTACGCCACAACGTAACCACTTTACGTAGTTTTAGTATTATATATAAATATTATTAAAAATTTATTATTATGGTATATCATTTTAGGAAAGAGCAAAATAATGGAAAGTTTAACGAAACAATATAAATATTTTATCAGCGGGACGCAACAAATAAAAAATATATATAATATTTTATAATGATAGAAACCGGCAATCTCTTACAGTGTGGAAGAGTTCAGGAATTTAGAATAATATTGTAAGTTTATGTAGTTTTGTCTTATGACGGGCAGAGATTAATTTATTTCCAAAAAGAATGGAGCACCTTGTCTTTTGAATGGTTTTCTTTGTCAATAAATAAGGAACAGGTTGGAAAGTATAACTGCAGCTTAACATAATACGCATTTTTGGGCTCGTTAATTGATTTTCAGATCTCCAAGCTTTTTTAAAAATAATTAATTTAAATAACCCATTTATTTAATATATATATTTTGAGTATTTTAATTTCATTGTAATACCAAAAGACGGTCCCACTAAAACACCAGACAACTGAACGCTGCTACGTTATCAATTCAATGCAACGCGTCAGCTTTTTAAACAAGCTAATTAATTATTATTTATTTTTAAATTATTAATTGGCGGATCCGCCGCAATTAAAGCGATAGAGGAATGGAGACCCTGTACCACCAGACCAACCATGCGGTAAAGGAAATAGAGCGGGACTTCCAGCGGCTGAGTCAACTGAGTGCCCAGGAATCCCTTGACGTGGAAAACGGAATTCAACTGAAGATAACACAGGCCAATTCGTAGGTGCTCCTAGCTGACTTGTCCCGAAATACTATAATACCTGGTTTATCCTTTGATTACACAGAAACTGCGACCGGTTGGATGTGCTGCTCTTCAAGGTGCCGCCATCGCAGAGGCAAAGCTCCAAGTTGCGGGTGGATCAACTTAAGTATGACCTGAGACACCTACAGACGGCGCTGCAAACCGCTCGGGAGCGCAGGCAACGGCGGATGCAGGAACTCTCCGAGAGGGAACAGCTCCTTAACCACAGATTCACGGCCAACAGCTCCGAGCCGGAGGACACACGCCTGAACCTAGACTACGAACTGCAGCACCATTCCCAGCTGGGCAACGCCCATCGCGGAGTCGACGACATGATAGCCTCGGGCAGCGGCATCCTTGAAAGCCTAATCTCCCAAAGAATGACTCTGGGCGGAGCCCACAAACGAATCCAGGCCATTGGCAGCACACTGGGCCTATCCAATCACACAATGAAGCTTATTGAACGCCGCCTAGTCGAGGATCGTCGGATATTCATTGGCGGAATGGTTGTCACTCTGCTTATCATTGCCCTCATCATTTACTTCTTAGTGCTCTAAGCTACAAGTGGTAAAGCTGAAATTTTAACATTAAATGTACTCTATTTTTAAAGCACCTTTAGAAGAATGAGATTCTCTCACCGCAAGTCATGGGTCACAAACTCCTAAGAGTACCTCATATCACGACAATTGTTTCAGTTAATAAGTCATACACTCCAACCCATTATCAACAATGCCTTTCATAGTTGAGTTTAAATTAAAGTGTACTCTATTTTGTTAAAAGTTAAATGCACAATGGGTTGATTTAGTCATCGCTTTCCAGGGAGATGTTGCTACCGAAACGCTGGTACAAGTGGGCCTTCAGCTCATCCATTTCCGCCTTGATGACCTTGGCCTTGGCCTCAACGCTGGCAATTTCTTTTAGCACCTGATCCTTGGTCTCCTTCAGCAGATCCTGAGTGGCACCCAGCTTGTGGGAGAGAAAGACTTCGCCCACGAGGAATGGGATATCGTCGTCCTCGTCGAACAGCTCGATCTCTTCCAGCGCCTCCTCCACGCACTTGAGCTCGTTACGCTTCATCTCCAGCTCGGCCTTGAATTCATCCATGCGGGCATTGTGCTTGGCAAAGCGGTTAATCCTCTGCTGGTCCTCAAACGAGATGTGGACATCGTCGTGCTAAGGGGAAGGAAATGTATAAGTGTAAAAGGAAATTGTAAATTTATATGTATGTTAGGAGATCTACATTATTTACAGAATAATATTATAAGGCACTTAGTGATTGCCTTTTTTGTGACCACCGGGGGAACACTCACAAAGTGAGGTTACTTTAACCACATCAGCTGTCTATCGGTGATTCACCGGATACTCACATTCTGGAACACCTTGTTCGTGCCGCTCGCTACCTTTGCTGCCATTTTCGGTGATTTTGTGATAACTTTAATAAATAATTTTGACTGTTTTACAAACAGTTGCTATTTTGTTGCTATTTTCTAAAAATTAGAGGATGCAGTGTGACCGCTATGTTTTCTGTTTATAATGCTAAACTTTTACTGGAAAGAAAAGAATTTCCCTTTCTACGGTACATGGGCACACTTGCTTAGAAGAAATACATAATAAAAGTGTTTAAAATTGATCTGATGAACTAATTTTAAAGTTTTTCATTGAAAAATAACATTTTATAGGTCTTCGAAATTGTAGGTTAGCTCAAAATTAGGGAAAACCTTATTTTTCCTTGTAAAGTCTGGCAGCCCATATGTAACAACCGTTAACTTGAACGATTCCACCACTGGGGTCGCCACTGCATGGGTAAAATGAATGTAAAAAATTATTTTTAAATGTAGGAAGTTTATTTATATAAACAAAATTTATTTTTAAATTAAGAATTAAATAAATTAATAATAGAATAAAATTAAAATTGAAATATATATATATTTGTTAAAAAAAACTCTTAAAATCTAAATTGTAAATCAATGTCAATTTAATTAGATAAAAAATGGAAATAAATATATAATTTATATATTTTCTAAGAATATTAAATATAAATATAATTAAGATATTGAGTAACATATTAAGTCAATGCTTTATAATATATATTTATAATATTATAAGTATCTAGTGAGATGGTAAAAATATTTGGTTTATAGTGGTTTTTATTTTGGTTTTAACCTATTTTAGTTATATTTTTTAATAATATAATTTAGAGAAATATTGCAAAAATTAAATACGTGACTGCTTTTATTACCCACAGATTTTGATATAGAAAACATTTCCCACTGATTCGGAACGAATTAAGGCCACCGCATAGCTAATTAGTCAAAATTATTATTGCTTCCTTTTTTGGCCATGCGATTTAATCACTAATTGTTTGCACATGTCACACATTAGGCTAAAACTAATAAATAATTGCGGTTAATCGCCATAATTAAACGGGATTTCTTCACTCGATGCAATTAAATTTCCGTTGGCAGCTTAGGAATTTCCTTTTGTCCTTTCCTCCTGCCCCGCTCACTCCGCTCCCTTTTCCATTGAATTCCCCGATTTCATCCGCATTAAGCGCACAAATTCGGATGGAGAATGCATTTGCCACTTTCATTTCCCCCCTTTTGGAATATTATCAAAATATGCAAATGCAATTAGACGCAACTTAACATTATCCATTAAGACGCAGAGAGTAAAAGAGACAGGGATAGTGTTAATATCCTGAAGATGACTTGGCTTTTCCTTTCGCTTTTCCGCCGAAATCCCTAAGGGCAGTGTCATTTTACAAATTGGAATTATTTCGGCTTTAGGCAAATATATATATATCAGAAATTAAAGGTTGACTTGTGAATATATGTATATGTTTATAGTACATATATAGTGCGAATCACTTTTGATCCTTTGCTGCAAAATTTGTGCAAATTGAAGCCTTGATTTATTGAATTGAATCTCATCAATTTGCAACAGAGCAATGGAAAAATGTACTTCACAGCAACAAGTTGTTCGTTGATTTGTATCTTTGTATCTTTTATATATGGAACATATCAATAGTTTATCAGTTTAGCTTCACAATCGGATTATACATGCAAGCTCTGGCCTAGAGATGCCGGATTTAAACTAACATTTTCTATAGATTTTGTGTTGTTTGAAATTAAATTTTTAGCTTGTTAGTTTTATTTGATCGAAACAAAGATATTTTTCATAATTAAAGCGGATTTTTGGAGTGTGAAAGGATATGTGTGTATAGCATAACTTATTCAGAGAGATTATTTTTGGAAGTAGATTAAATTTTGACTTTGGGAAGTTGTACAATTTCCAAAAAAATAAGACTTCATTATTTAAAGCTTAAATCTTGATTCTTTTGATAAGGAAATCCACAGCTTAAGCAATATACAATCCGTTGAAAATCTTTAACCGTCTGTGGACTTTACATCTTCCTTGTTGCCTGCCTTCCATGGAGAGCTGTGACCCACTTTCGGATCATCAAGTGATGCCCACATCGAGTGTCATACATATGGGTCGGGCCCGTGGTCGAAAGGATACGCCTGCTCTTGGCCCAACCATTCTTCACTCTAGTGCGTGAATGCTGCGCCACACGAGGGAAATCAAAAGACATGGCGTCAATCAGTTTTCCACTAAACCAGGCAGATGCCTGGTTGCCTCCTGCGGGCTTTTCCTCTCCTTTCCGATCTACATCAAGTGGAAAACTTGGCAGCAATTGGCGACCCGCACTCTCCTCTCGAAAAAGGCAGTTAAACTTTGCTTAGCCCTACTATTGATATATTTTGTGTGTGTGCTTCTTCAGGTGGTATTTACATTTGCCCAACTATTTCATTGTTTGTCCATTTTGCTGGATGGATGTGCTTTGATTTCGATTTCATTGCACACAGGTGCACATGAACGAGGACAGTTTGGTTCGGTTCGGTAAATGCTATTTGATCAGGGATACTATTTGTAGCATCCTTTGTATGTTTAGTGCATTTAAAAAAAATATTAAAAATTTCAAAGTTGTGTTGAAATATGTATTTTAAAATTTATAACAACTTCGTTAAGTGATTGATATATAAGTATATATTTTAAAAATTTATTTGAAATCACATTAAAAGTGTGTTTATAAATCTTAAAATCTTATACAATTTTTGGTAAATCTTTTTTTATGTTAAAATATATTCCTCAATTCAATTTTCAAGTGTATACACATTCCATCATTGTATCAGGATACTTTAAAGTCTCCCACTTCCTGTTTATCTGCTGCAACTTTCTGTGACTGTATCTAACTTTAGACTTTTATAAACCCTCCTAGGAGTCGTAGTCTACGACGGCACTTGTTAATGTTTAATGGGAGACTTGGCTTTAATATTCATGCTTTAAGTTGGCCTCCAGACCCTCTATATATATATATATTAAGCCAAGGCCCCCACAAATTGAGTTAACATCTCGGGGTTCTCATTTCGCATTCTGTTTTCGTTTCGCTTTATTTTTCGGATTCGATTGCAATTTGTGTTATTAAAAGCAGCGAGACATGGGGCTCTGCTATAGCTATGGCTTTAATGCGTTAATTTATCACTCCGGCTGGCCCAGGACCCGTTCTATATGGTTATAAGTATACAAGGATAGCTCGACATGAGAGTCACGTGCCCGCCGAGAGTCTCTTCTGTCCCTGATGAGAGGCTCCGAAAGGATTTATGGCCACACTTAAGTTTAGCCTCCTGATGGAGGCACCATTTGAGTTTTGTTCTCGGGGCTCCCTTGGACAGGTGCCATATATAAGCCGAAAATGAATAATAATGGTAGCTACTCATATATATGATTAACCCGATGACTGATAGGCTAAGTGGAATCAGCGACATTTGTTGCTCACTTGCCTAATGTGCTTTTAATGAGCGTGTGATGGTGAAGTTTTTGGGAATATAACTTTTGATTTAGTCATGGGGTAAAGTCATTAAACTACGCCTAAAATATAACAGTTAATGAGATTGGAGTTAAGGCTACAAACAGGGAAGGAAATCAGAAAGTAAAGGTAATAATATGGGGATAATTATAGTTATATCTGATTTATAGGTTAATCCGGTGAATAAAAGAACTCATTTTATTTATTAGTTGATATAAGAAGTTAAAAATAATATTTAAATTTATTTAAAGATATTTTCCTGTTGACTTATTAATAAAATAAATTTGCATTCATCATTTCTGCTTCAGAAATAATTTCTTTGTCTTTGTCAGCAACTGCAATCGACCCAACTTTTGGTTAATTATAAACTTCTGTGTTTTTAATGCCCCAACATTAGGTGCACAAGCCGGGCAAATGAATGAATGTTCATCACCAGGTAGCACACAAAAGGAGCTTGTTGAAAACTGAAAAGGGGCAACCTGCTGACGTCTCATAAATAAATCATAGAGGTTCTCACTCTCACTCGAACTGGGGTCTTTTGGCAGGTTGTTCATTTCATAAATAATGAGGTATGTAGACCTAGGCGAACTCTTCTTTGAAATGCAAATAAATGGAATTTTCAGACACCACATGGCGTATGCGCAATCCTTCGGCTCCTTACCGCAAGGCCTTACACTTGATGGGTTTTTGTTTCGAAACATTTTTTTTACAATTCAATTGAATTGTTACAAACTGTCCAGGAATA